ACACACACACACACACACACACAAACATTGTGAGGATTCGGTAAGCGATGTCGCCGGTGGGTGAGAGGGACCCATCGATGACATAGGGTGGGCGGTGGCTGGGGTCTTGCCGGCAGGGGGGGGGGCGGGATGTGGGCCGGGTACATGCCCTCTTTCCGTGGGGGCACGATGGTTGGGCTTGTCTTTGCTGGCAGTCACGCGGGGTGCGTCCATTGTGGGGTGTAGTGGGGTAGTGGCGGATGGCACTTGTAGGGACCACCGCGCGGGGTCCCTTTGTCTTCCGCAATGACAAATGGGTTCCAAAGTGGATGGCTGCAGATCAGGCGACCAAAGTGGCAAATGTGTCGCTATCGCCTGTCCGTATATGCCGAAGGAAATGAACCGGCGCTGCTCACGCGTGTCGTCATCGGGCAACAACCCTCACCAGGGGCGTTTGCATTGAGCACCTCACCAAGATCGTCCATAGTACTAGGTATAAACGTCCACCTCGTATACGTCGCTTGCACATCGCCAACTCCACACGTAAATGGCCTCCATGAATACTCGCCTGCCATCGTCGAACTTCGCTCTGCGCAACATTGTCAACGTGTCGTTCGTTGTCCGTGTGCACAGACGCCTGTCATTGCCACCACTAGCAAACCACAAACTGCGGTGTTGTGCGACCTCGCCACGCATGTCATTCCATCGCCCCCAATCGTGTTTCCCACCATCTGCGTCTGGTGATCTGTGCAAGGACCTGTCGCCAGTCTGTCGTTAGCGTCGTCGCATTGTCGCGGATCACCACAGTGTCTTCTCCCCGGATGGGCTACGCGAAGAGGGCGTTTTCAGCATACGTCGCTGCCTCGGACACGTCATCTACACAGGCCATCCGATTGCGCACTTCACACCGTCGTCGCTCTCCGTCATCGTGCTCGTTGTCTTCACCATGTCTTCACATGGCGGTAATCGCGGTAAGAAGAGGGACAGCTTGGAAGCGGAAGCGCCTGCGGCCGTGAAGAAAGGACGTCATCAACCGAAGAACAAGAAGGTTGTTGCAGAGGGCCTTTCGAGGGGAAGTGCCACGAGGGATGACGAGTGGGTGAGGGATTTCAAGGGCGCGGGTTCGTGTCCGAAACCGAGGTGGAAGGGGTCAGGCAAGCGTCCGTGCGTGCACAAGGGGCGGTTCGAATAAACGAGCCGTGACCGCAACCTGCTCCCCAACCCCACGACAGGGGGGGGGGGTCGTAAGGCTGACGTCGTCATCGATGTGGACGCTGGTCAAGCGGCGAGGGAGGTCCTACTGGATGCTGCTCCGCAGACGGCACCTGCAGGGGGGGCCGTTGCCAGGACACGTGTCACTGCGCCGCCTGATGCGCAAGATTCCGCGTGGGTGCAATCACCCCCAACCACACCACGTGGCCAAGCAATTCCGGAGAAGGGAGGGGCCGCGAAGGTGGTGGTGCAAGGAAGTGGCCACGATACACATCGGCAAGACCCTATCGCCTCGCAGGGCGGTGTCGTGGCAGGATCATCTAGACTGACGGCGGTTGCAGCAACCGCGGAGAGCCGTGGGCGGCGTGGGGAAGGCGACGCCGATGAGCCTTTGGTGAACAGGCAACGATGGGGGAATGCACGAGATGGGATTGAAGCTGCAACGAAGTTGTGGGTGGATGACATGAGGTTCTGGAACGAGACAGAGGGCAATGGACTCTTCAAGGTCATCCAGGAAGCGCGACTTTATTTGCTGGCCATCGCCAAGGGAGTCGCCACTCACGAGATCCATCGGAGTATAGCCCTCCCTCACTCAAGTATTCCGCAGCACAAGATTGAAGACGAATCGCAGCCGAAGGCGGTGAAAGACAGGGCGACGAAAGTGCAGAGCATCGTCTTGCGCGTCATCCATGGATGGATCTTCAAATCCGCGAGTCGCTCATGGGGCTACCACTCCACATACGGATACGTCCTCAACCACGTGGTGACGGACATGGCTCGCGTCATGTGGCTTGGAGAGGACTAGTGCACGTGTGTGAGCCCCGCTATCTGCCACATCATACTGGAGATGGATATGAAGCTCCCCGTTTGGTTCGTCGGCGCGCACATCGAGGACAGACAGGAGGACTACTAGTTGGCATGCTACCAAGAGGCGACCATGCAGCGCCTGGTGAGCGCCTTCACTAGCGCCATCAATCTGGGGGAGGGGGTCGATGGGGGGCGCATCTCCTACGTGACGCTAAGGAACATCGCCGACGCTATGAGGTTTTTACTCGCGGCGTCAATGTGGCTGGTGAGGATGAGCGGGGACGATCTGTGTTCCCATTTCGATGCGTCGTTGTTCGTGCAGCTCACCGCGAAGCCCACACTGGTGGCGGCCACGCACGCTCGTCGCCATATCCTTTAGGCATCCACCGTCGTGACGGAGAGGATGGGGAAACCCGCCATGACGTTGGCGGGCCCGCCTCTGTACATCCCAGATTGGGCTGACTGCGGGATCACACTCGGCCATGACGCCACTCTTCTGTCGCGGATGGCCGCGAAAAAGCTGGAATGGTTGGGCACTGGCCCCCCAGAGGACGATGACGACAAAACAGCGCGTGACGACAAGGATGGGGCGGGGTAGAAAAACACAGTCGGCAGGTTGATGGGCGTCGGTGGCTTGCTATCGCAATGCACAAGGGGCGGCTCGTGCCACACGGCGGGGGTGTCGATGTCCCATGTGGAGGTTGGGGGATATGCTGGCGTGCACTCGCACTGTCGTGCGGTTCGACCAGTCGTCGCCGCCGCTCGACTCCGGTTCGGGTTTGCCGGGTAATTTTCGAAGCTCGATACGCCTGGTGCCGCTGACACTTTTCGCACAATGTGCGAGGCCAATAGAGTCGCACGGCCCCGATGGCATCTTTCGACAATAGAATCGCTTTGTAGTCTCTTCACGTTATGTCGTGGATGTTGAGAGAGAGAGAGAGAGAGAGAGAGAGAGAGAGAGAGAGAGAGAGAGAGAGAGAGAGAGAGAGAGAGAGAGAGAGAGAGAGAGAGAG